TAGCTAGACCACCTTTGAAACCTGGAACCAATGATTGAAGTTAGGCATCAGATACCGACGCAAAAGTCTAGAGTTTAAACTTTCACGAGTCAGACTAAAGGTCTTGGTTTTTATTCTTGCTTATGCGCTTGTGGATGTGGACTGTTGAGGAGTCCGAAACTAAGACAAACGGTCATTCGGTGTCCGAAAATTGTCAGTGGTTGTCTACCCAAAATCTATTTCTAATTTAAAATTACGCTTGATAAATTAATGTAAACAGACCAATCATACATGTACTATTTCTTTAAAGTTGATCGGATAAGCAAAATAATGTAAGTTGGTAAGTCTGAATCATTTATCTTTCATTTTAGTTACAATTTTAAAGATAGAATACTTTTTTAGAAGATTAACAAAGTTATTTTCAGAAAGAAATTTTTAATCATTGAATATGCATTGTACATTAAATTAGTCACTTATAATAAATACACATGTAACTTACACGAGATATTATAGTCTCAATGCTGGATAGTTTGGTTTTTGTCCTTCAGGGAAATATTATCAAAAATATAGTCCTATTGAAATTAACTGTCTGTTATGACGGAACGAATATTTTAATGGTTGAGATTGGTTTTTCGGATTATTATTAATTATGGTTTCTTCGTATAACTATTGAGTATCCAGATCGAAATGTCTATCTATTCCATTTATTATAAGCTTTTGGTTGATATATTAACTAACATTGTATGATTTACCATTACTAAATTATTGCCAGTCGATTATTTACAATCTCCCCTATTCACGGACAGTTTTTAACTCGTTCATGTGTAATCGTTATTTCTCATTTTATGATGTAATGCGGTCCAGTATGTCTGTACATAAACCGTCTGTTTAAAATATGTATGGTACAAGTGATGGTTGCTACTTCTCGACTCAAGGTCTGGGCATAGAAAGGAGCTATCGAATAGTGAACTAATATGAACATAGCTGCCCCTTGAAGGTCAACAGTGTTGGCCGTGGCGTGTAATTGTCCATGTCAGAGATACTTAACTATACAGTAAACTCCAGGGCAAATTAGAGTTAGAATTCTGACTGCTAAGCGGGCCCGTGATATTTGTCAGCGACCACAAAACATAACGCTAGTAAACATCTAATTAACTGAAAATGAAATTGTATTAATCTGTAAGAGTGATCGGGACTTCAAATGACGTTTAAAGGTTCATTAACTGTATTGTTTTTCATTTGTACTGAATACCCTAGTCATATTCTCTTAATTTGTTTTGTCTTAAGCAGTAACTTATGTAACATGTTAAGTATTGTGTGAATTTCATTCTCATTAGTCAAATGTAAGGCTCTTCTGGTTCTGATATTTGTACATACTCATTTAATTCTATATATCTCCTTGACATGTTTCGTTGTATAACAAGGTCCAGTGAACAAGATGATATTATAAGTCGATTGTAAAATGCTTCAACAATATTTCATCAAGATATATTCAGAAGACCACATGAATAGTGTACAGCGTTAATAGAAAGTGAGAATTCTTTATTGTGTATAGTATGTGAGAAATAGGTTTTGTATATATCGATCGTTATGTAATGTGTGATAAACGTTGATACGTCAGTCAATTCATTGAGATAGTTGGTCACTCGGTATATATATTTAAATATTTAGTATTCCAAATGAATAAGCAGAAATATCAGCATTCTTAAGCATTTGAATGAGAATGAATACAAAACAGTTAATGAGATTAAACAATACATTTCTTTATCAGGTTTATAGATTGTTAAGGTAACATAAAATTTGTGTAAAACTGTAATAAGAAAGGTAATACACATAGACCGGTTATTAGTTAATACTGATGTCTTATTCATTATTATCATTTTGATGGAGTTTTGTTCTTTGAGCTGGATAGTTTGGTCGTGGAGCTTTCATTATCCTCTTGGACGACATCATCAACACAAACTTCGGGTAGGAGTGAAGTGTTTGATGTCATTCAGAAGGACGATAAAAGCTCCACGACCAAACCATCCAGCCCAGAGAACAAAACTGCATCAAAATCATCCACCTGAGCTGCAAATCTTCTCCACCATCTCACTGTTATCATCTTAATTTAAATTTATATTATATAGTTAAAAATGTGACGTTTTGTGCTGTCATTCAATTCTACATACTTTTTGTATAAGAGTACAAATTTCAAATTGAATGAGAAAACTAAGAGTAGTTCGAAAAATGTATTAGCCATACCAAATTAAAACATGTTCACAAATATATAAACATAAGTGTAGAAATGTTCCGCATCAGATTTCTATCCATCACAGTTAGTTAACCCAAACTTCAACTAAAACCATTCATCTGTCAACATTTCTCACTAATAGTTTAGTGTCCAACTGATATATCTGATTGCCTCAGCCTATCACTATCCAAGTAAATTCTTTCAATTTATATACTACTGAAGTCGTTTAAATTCATTTGTGAATCTCAAAAACTGTGACATTTAACAATAAAGAAGTAAGCTCATTAGATTATTCATATAAAGTGTCACAACTTTGGACAGTTTATACCAACTTCCAAAAAAAAGAAAAAAATCGATTATTAAACTCAATGATATTCAGTAAGAGAAGTTAAGTGACTTTAAGCTGTCAAGGGATAATAATTAAAATTCACTTTCATTTTGTCTCTATCAGCATATTGGTAAATTAAATACCATTTAATAAATGACGAAGCTTATAATCTTTATTAAGTAAAATGTATATTTTTATATAGTTGAGATCATGAGTCAATTGAAGCTAGACCATAATGGAAAACTTGGAAGCACTGGACTGCCGTTTCGTCATATTGTGGGACTCCTCAGCAGTGCGCATCCGCGATCCCGCCTAACGATATTCGAACCCAGGACCTACCAGTCTCGCGTCAGTGCACTTAACCGATAGAACATATTACTATGGTCTACAGTAATCACTGCCGTTATATTGTTAACATTGTATTGCTGATAATAAAAACCTTAGTGTAAACAATTTTACATATTTACTAGAAACGATAAGATGGTGGTTTGAGGCGGTCAACAGGATTCGATTGGCACTAAGAAGGGCTTGACATACATGACATTGATCACCACCCAATGATCAATCAATTGTGATTACTAGAAATGATATCTAGAAAACAAGGATTCTTTTCGTTAATGAAATTTATTTCTTTATTTACTGGTATTTTTAATGACTTTTCTCATGTATAATACTATCTAGCACTGAAAAGTCTTCATTTCATTTCGTGGTATAACAACAATGAAAAGTTCTGTGTTGTTTAGTAGTCGATTTCTTTTGTTTCTGAAGAATGTTGAATTGCATTCAGAATGACTTCTGTTGAAATAACGAAACAATCCAAGTTAGGCAACCATTAGAAACCTGGTTAGAATGGATATTTATTTTATCTTAATATGGAACTTCTCAACAGTATGCATTTACAGTATGGTCACTGTTATGAATTTAAAAAAAGAACAAGGCCGTATGACAATTTGTTGTGGTCTGATATTCGGCTTTTTATCACGTGAACTATCCACCAGTCGAAATACGACCTGTCTAATCTTAACACTGTGCTAAATCAATAACGTTCGACCAGTATGTGTAGTCTAGCGTCCTTATTGATCCCTTGTCCGCCTAGCCCTTCCAATTGAGTCCAGAACACCAATTACAGCTTCTGTTATTCCAAGCATACTCGGTTTATATACCGGACAGACAGACTGCATCACACCATAAAATAGAAAGTAATATTTGTACAAGATCAAGGCGAATGTGACTGTGAACGTCGGATACAATCATCAATAAACTGAATATAATTCAGGGACAGTAAAACGTATAATCATAATCCATAGGTCAAAATGAAGCTTATAATGCGATGAATATAGATATGCACCATCTAGTTACTCAACAGTTAAAACAATAAGAATATACGTAGAATAATCGGCCATTGATAAGTCCTGGAACTTACTGTACTCATGTCTTCGCTAGGATATAACAGTCATCACTTTTTATTAACTTTTATGAATATCTGAAATACTACTCAAAATAGTTCAAGCAAATACTTCTGAATAATATACTTAAAGTATCATGAAAATATCTCTATAAATAACTGAACTATTAAGATAGACATTTTTATCTCGATCAATATAACTTACTGTCAACTGAATTCATAAATGAGTAGTATAATAAAATTGTTTACATTAGTAAACTTATCAAATATCAAGTTGATATATGTGTGACAGAATTTTGTTTATTTATACAATGATCTATTTTAAGAATGTAATGACAAAAGGTAATCATCATTGACAATGAGAAATATTTTGAAATAGATTGATGTCATTAATCTGAAATACCTTTCTAATCATAATCATTTAAATTCTTCAATCATCAACATTTCACTCAATTAATTTTTATCTCTTTTTCTTTCATACATAAATCTTTAACAGAAGGGGTTTTTTGATAGGTTCTGGGTTTGAATCTAGCTCACGAGGAGAGGTCGTGGATGCACACTGCTGAGGAGTCCCACAATAGGATGAAACGGCCGACAAGTGCTTCCAGGTTTTCCATTGTGGTCTAGCTTCAATCGACTCATGATCTCAACTATATAAAATTACGTTTATGTTTAAACTAATATCAATGAAAGGAATTAGAAATTAGGAATAAATACAAGACAGCAAAACAGTATGCATCAATTGTGTTTGACATTAGAAGAAAGTTAATTTTCTAAATTGATTTTAGAATAGAGTTCTTCGAATCATTTAGGTATCTATTAATGTACATTAAAATTATTTGTCGAATGGAGTATGGTACATATTTTAAGTATACGAAAGTAACTGGACTTCAGTAACTATCATAGGAATGTATCATATTGGAATTTAGCTGTTTTGTTCGCTTTGATGATTTTTTTGTACAGGGAATAGATTACATTGTAAAAGTTTAAAATATGAAGTATTAGCACATATTACATTTATTCATTTATTTTTGTATAAATATCTATTACTTTAGACGGAAACTCCAAAGCCATCACGGTATTTAACACGTACACAAGGTCTTTCAAGTAATAGTGGGAGTAGTATTGGCAGTGTTGGTGTAGGCAGCAGTTGTAGTTCAACTGGTACATCAACTTCATCTTATTCAGGACTTCCACAATATCCACGTAGGTCACCAAATAAAATTAGTTCAAATACAAATTATACACTCGGTGGAATAGGTACTAGTTCATCATGGAATTCAGTAAGTTATAAATTACGACGTTTGATCTTATATAATTAAGTATTTTATATAAAATGATTTCAATTTGAAACTCATTACTGTGTTGGAGGTTTAATTCACAGTTTGATGTATGAACAATGGAAAATTACCATCTTGACTACCCATTAATAAGTAGAGGAATTTTCAGACATTAATTCAGTCAATTATAAAAAGATTACGGTAATGAACAGATTTAGAAAAATAAAGCTTTCGAGTTCAGTCACAAGCCTAATGTTACAAGAATGTGTGATGTAATCAACTTCAGTGAATTGGATAAATACTGATGTTCATTGACAAACTTAAATTTCACAAACTACTATGAATTGACTATCTAATTGATTATGGATTTCATTTCATTTCAACTGTGTTCCACCAATGAAACTGTTCATTTTGTTTTGATTCGTTGATATTTTGAAAACGTAAAACTATCGAGAATAATTGTATTGCATAGTCACATGGCTTCTTCTAGTGGTTGACTTATTAGAGTATTTAGTTAGCTAAGATTTTCCATTATCGTCATCACCTTGTCAACTTCGCTTGTAAGTGAAAGTGACTCAAGCATGAAGAAAATAAAATGTTTCTGATATATCATATCTAACTGGTTACGAACCATTAGGGTAAGAACATTGAAGTTAACAATAGCTAATGAGATGGATGTACTTAAGAAGAAAGTGCTGGAGACCTTAGGAAATATCTAAGGTGACAAAGTATTATGGCTTTATACCTGGATTAATGGAGTACTATATGCAATAACAGATAATTGTGTTTAGCATGATTTCACTTCTTACCTTAATGGCATATATATTTACGAATAAGAAAGCGGAAATTTATTTGTTGCTGACTAGTGTATACAAGGAGCATTTTAAAGTATGCTTTCTTCCGTATGCAACTGTTTATCTCTTTCTAACTTTCACCCTTCCTCAATAGATAAAATTATTCGAAGTTCAGTGCTTTAAGTAATTCAATAAATGTTTATTGGTTGTTTCATTGTATTTACTCTAATAGGACTTGAGTAGTGCTGCAAGTAAAACACCTAATTACAAACAGTTATACGAAGAAGAAAAAGTACTAACAAACGGTTTACGTGAAGAGGTAAAAGCAGCCCAGAAAGAACTGAAGGAATTAGAAGACGCCTTGGAAAATTCAGTTGGTAGACGAAGACCTAGTGAGGTTGAACAACGGGTGAGTGGAACTATTTGAAGTAAATTTAGAAATTTTCTTTTAGAAGATATGATACTAAAAATCTATAAGGATTGGCAAGGTGGTTTGATCAAGTTTAGGTATTTTTAGTCACTGTTAAATTGTGACAGCTTTCTGCAAATGAATCGCAAGTTGTGTCGTTATGTAACTAAGTACTTTCTGTCATCACTCAGTTTGACTTGAATAGGATTATCACTAGCTGTTATGTGAGACAGTATTTATAATTTCAAACGATCCTAATTCATTTGTACTGTTTGTATATCATCACAGAACTCGCATATGCCAAAAGAGACTGATCAGTTTCAGTTCTAAATATCAATGGGAGGATTCAAACAACCAATACAAATGAATTAAACTTAACCTCATTACAGGAGCCAGTAACTAACTTGGCTCGGTACACAAGTGGATAACGAGATGGCATTTGAAGCGAACGGCAATTAGTTCGAGTTTTGAAATGAACATTAACTATAGGATGTAGACATATCCAGCAGGAAAGTCCCGAATAGGACGAAACGCACGTCCTGCATCTCACTGATAGTCATTATTCATCTCTGTCTATAACGATCTGTTGTTAGGTTTATTACCTTTGGAAGCCTGAAAGTGTAAAAAACGACTGTTCTCTTCTCTGTAATTCCTATATATTCCACAATGTATGCTTTCAAATATGACCATGTATAGATAGGTGGTCATCTTCAGTCTATGTCCATTTTTAAATAATTATCAGTTATCTACTTGTTCACATGTGATAAAGTTTATCTCTAAGCTAATGATTTCAACCACATTAAATGACCTGTTTCGAGTGTTTTGTAAGTTTATCTAACGATTTCCGAATGAGTTCACAGTAAACTTCTGATTATAAACAATAACAGCATGCATCATTGATACACTACAGTTTTAATGAAAGTTGAAAAATAGAATATTTCTTCATTTACACCACTATCCATGTTGTTTAAAAGTTACTTGATGCCTCAATTTGTCATACTGGTAACACAGGAAGTTTACTAAGTCGTTAAGAAGATCTAGTTTTTATCTACTTACAAACAATCTTATATTACTGTGGAGCAATCTTTCCAACGAAAGCTATGCTCCATTACATTAATTGGAGGTAATCAATAAATTTGAAGTCGGAAAGTGACTAATTATTAATCCACAAGTTATTAGAGAACATAAGAATAACTGTAGTCCGACTAGTTTCTGTTTCAGTGAAGATAGCACGTCCATCTAAAATTTGTTTCTAATTTAAACAGAAAAATACTTTGTGAATCTTAAGGTGCATTTTTTGTCTTTTTCAGAAATTTAAAGTTTAAATAAACTAAGGTCAGAGATTAGTTTGTTCAACTCCCCCCCCCCAATTTTTTCGTTTCATTTCATTTTTGTGTACTTCATTTACGGATCATAACTAATTTGTTTATACCTGTAATCAGTTCTGATCTCAAAAAAATCTAATAATGCTTGTAAAATGTAATTTGAATGTAGTTTTGATTGTGTATAGTCTTTAATTATTTTGTTAGATAAGTATCCTTTCTCATAAATGAACTTAAAACATAATGACGTAGTTGTGAACGCGTCTAATCAAAAATGTTATACATATGAATTATATAAAATTCTACAAAACGAATAGTACTGTAGTTTATGCTACTTATGTCGACGGATGTAAGTAGTATGTAACACCAATTGGAAGTAGAATTCATGGCAGCAGAAGATTAAGAAGATCGAATTGGAAAGAACAAGAATGTAAACAGAGAGAAATTTTAACAAAAACAGAATTGAAAAAAACATGAGACATGTAAAGGACAACTGAAGATGTTCAGATAATATACTTAATGCATGGTTTTCATCTTTTATGAAAGCACTCTGTAATTTTGCACTAACCAATAGATTGGTTTTATAAGCAAAGATAGTGGATAGCAGTGGGATCCAGGACGCACGTTTCGTCCTATTTGGGACTCGTTAGCTGGAGGCACCTGCATCTCAAATTTGACGTTCACTTTGGGACTCGAACCCAGTTCCACTGCTAGCCACTTTCCATCTTTGCCTATATTGCTCGTGAATTAAGGCTATATTGAGGCGATAGGCACAGTATGCACATATGCAAATAAGAGACTGATCAAGTGCAGTTCTAAACAACAATGGGAAGATTCAAAGAAACATTACCAAGTGAATAAATTGGTTTTCCTCATCTGTGTCTTCGTTCATCACAGTACTACTAGGTTATACAGCTCACATCGATACACCGCAAGAATAAACAATCAAATCTAAAGTGGATAAATGGATGAATTGACAATGGATATAAATTAGTAACTTTTTAAAGAAGAAAATACGAGTTCCTGTCAAACGTGGAACACTATACCATCCTTGCCGGTTAGATCATTACTATCAGTTCAAGGAATAGTGAAATTAAGGGAAAATAAATAAGACAGCCGTCATGTAATGATAGTTAAAATATTTTATTTTATAACCGTAGATGATAATAGAAATATGATAAAATGTAGACAATTTTTCTTTTTATCTTGAATATATTCTGATAATAATTTTAGTAGTATAACATAATCAAACATTAAGTATAGATTTAATTTGACAGTTTATGTATAGTTGAGATTCAATTGTCAGTTCCGTAGTCAAAAACAGTTTAACTCATGATTTCTGTTTATGTTTATGCAATGGGTTGAAACAACCTACTTAGAGAATTTTTAAATTTTAATGTATTTCAGTTTTATCCCACTTTTAATCAGTAATGCTACTGGGTTGATAATTACTTTAAAATATTAGTCCATGTGAGGTTGGTGAGGCTTCATTTGACAAATCTGATTGGCTTGTCCTGATTTGAATCCACTTTCTGAGGCTCACGAAACCAACGCGTCCGAGCGCTTTCGTCTTGGTACACGGGCGTCGCACCAGGGTCAAGTATAGTCTATATTCACACCGGTAACACAAAATTTTTCACCTATACATCCCTTGGCATACAAATAGTTGTACTTACCTTGTGGGCAAATATACATTGCATGCAAGCCGGTAACACACAAAATTATGCATCCCATAGCATACAGACAGTTATATTGATCCATCTAGTAGGTAGATGGTCACCATTCCGTTTAAAAGTATTTGTTACGACTAATTGTCTTTTACGAATTTCATGCGCACCACTGGTGCAAAGACTTCCGTCCATGCACTTCATGACATACACATAAGCATAAGCCCTATCAGGGAGGGTTGATGGTCACCTCTTTCTAGTATTTACTACCATATCCTTTTTACAAACCTACATACATAAACAACACGAACCTAGATTTACGCAACCCACATACATAAGCATACACATCGGTGAACCCATCACAATTTTTAAAGCCTCGAAGTGTGAACTCAAAGTAATTCACGTAAGAGTAGTGGAATAGCCACGATCACCACTGACCACCCAAATTAACTAGTAAGTTCGCCCTGCCTACCAAGCAAAACCACGTGGAGGCTTTGGGTCAGATTTCGCTGTCTACGAATTTTAGCACTCCGTGTAGGAAGCAATTTCCTACAGGGGTAACTTTAAGCTATTCTCTAAACTGTCGAATACAGAGTCTTGGTTTCGCCAAAGTCAAAACAAGTAAGCTATTTGGCTTAATAAACTTTATCTGTTTCTAAAACGTAAATTAACAACATTAGTATGCGAATAAACAGTAGTCTATTACATAGTGAAAGGGAGAAATATAAATAACATACCGAGCAGTAACTGGAGAATAGGAAAAGTGAGTCAAAAAGGGAGAATATTGTTTCAGAATGAACATAAAATTGTGATTGGTGGATAAAACAAAGACAGTCATACAAGGTCAAAGAATTTAGTGCGGTGGTGAGCGTTTCACCTATCATTGGTGTGTTTACTTATCGATCACACTTTACACTCCGTGTGTAGAAAATTATAGGATATTCAAATGTATAAAATTACTTTTCAATTTTTTTCCTAATAGTTTCATTAACATAAAATATTGAATAAAGCCAGTAATAACAACAATAATGATTGCAATAATCATAGTTAAAATTTATGAGTGAGACTATAATTTATGGACGACGTTTGAGCGACGCTAACTTGACTTGGAGAACATCCACCTACTGAATAGGACCAAACGAGGGTTGTAAACCAGTGTGTGTAATTAGAATTATGATTTACAGTTGATGGTTGGGGTTAAGAATTACATTTAACATTTATGTCATGAATCGACATCAGCTATAAATTTGTCGAGTTATATTCTATGTGTGAACTAATAGCATGACTAGTTTCTTTGAGTGAGAGATTAGACTTTAAAATTAGTTATTTTTCATTTTGATTATCAGTGAAAGTATAATGATACATTCGTTTGTTTAATTTCATATGATTTTTTAAAGAAAATGGAAAGAAGAATTTCAGAATGTGAACAAGAACTTAAAGTAAGTCAAATAAAATTGTCATATAATTGAATAGACATAAGTAATCTATTATCATTTCAAATGGTTGAAGTTAGACATAAACGCCGTTGGATGGCGACTCGGTGGTTTACAGATTAAGCGTTCTCATGAGACGCCAATGGTCCTGGGTTCGAAACCCATGCACAGGATCGTGAATGTGCATTGATGAGGACGAAACGATTGTCCAATACTTCCAAGTTTTCAATGGTGGTCTAACATTAATCGGTTTATGACCTCAATCGAAATCTAACAATCCATACAACCCCATCCTGATACTTAACTATTTATCAATCTCTTTTTGGTATATTTTAGTTAATTGAGAAATTACGTGCTGAATCTGAGAAATTACATGCTGAACATCGAGCACTTATCCGAGTGGTGTCACGTTTAAACAGAGAACAGTAAATAAAACAAATTTTTTTCTAAAAAAAATAAAATAAACAACAATTTACCATTTTCTTTCTTTATCAATATTTAACTAACATGAATAGTGAAACAAAACTCTGTTCTTTACTTCTTTAAACATGATAGTTATATTTATACATAAAGATTCTTTTTAATTTCATAATAATGTTAATTCATTTGAATGTATGAATAAATAAAATTAAAATATTTATCGAATGAAACTTTCTATCAATATCCCATTTATGTCATCATCATCATCATCATCATCATCATCATCATCATCATCATCATCATCATCATCATCATCATCATCATCATCATCATCATCATCATCATCATCATCATCATCATCATCATCATCATCATCATCATCATCATCATCATCATCATCATCATCATCATCATCATCATCATCATCATCATCATCATCATCATCATCATCATCATCATCATCATCATCATCATCATCATCATCATCATCATCATCATCATCATCATCATCATCATCATCATCATCATCATCATAAAATGAGCAGTGGCATATTTATGAGGGAAAAGACACTTGTGGCTCGTTTTTACGTAGTCTTCCGTGAACATATGGGTAGATTTAACAATAACCTGACAAAAAGCTCCTCATATCAGTTATGTTAACCAACTTTAGGGTAGCTTTTGATGAGGCCTAATACCAAAGGTTTCCTACCACACTAATGTCCTTCGGCACCCAAAATTCTGTGCGCTGATATTTTATTTTAACTACATTTTAAACGTGAGCAAACAGCAATGTACAGAGACGCCCTACCAATACCGATATCAGAAACTGATGAAGTTATCCATATAAGTGTTTCAGGTCCTCTTTTGTTCCATACGTCAACAAGTTAGCGTTTTAGCGGGTTTTTTTGGTTAGCGTTTTTTTAGCGAGTTTGTTTTTTACGGGATGGGGTCGCTAACCCCATGCCCAACCCTCCTTTTTTAACCGGGCTTGGGACCGGCAGTAGCCCCTAGAGGAGCTACGTCAACAAGTGGTCCAGGTAAAATCACACAACTTTAAAGACCATATTTTAAAGCTGGTAAACTCATAATAATAATATGTTTTGCACTAGAATTTCTTAGTGTGGATGCATCTCAGTTCCCAAATAAACCTGATAATGTATTTATCCGCAGGGAAATATTACAATTACTATTTAAATGCAGCAAGTATGGAATTATAAATTTTGTAAACAGTAGCTCTAAACCAAGTTAATGTAGAGCCTGGACATTCAGATCAACCCGCACTCTAGGAATTATTTACTCAGGAAGCTCAAATCTCGTGGGACTGCCATTTTTCCTTTCTAAGTGTGGACGACATTAAATAAACAATTAAATGTAAAAAATTCCTTTCAGAACATTAATGTAGCCGTTCACCAATGATCAACTTTATAGGATATGGTCTCTCGTTCACAATCAAATCACCCAATAGTGACACTCGGCCCTGCTTACAGATTGAGGAATATGTGGTGTGATCATAATTAAAGAATCGTAGTTTAAATGATTTATACGACTTATGTTTAGTATAGCTACATGGTTTCAATAATAATCGTCACAATCGATCAAGCAATGAGAAGAAATTGGAGGTGTTGTAGCTACATTTGCACTTGTCAACCGGTATCCAACTGATTTCAAGATGCCGTACAAAGCACCTGTACAAATACGATTATGTTTATGTTACCAATGTATACGTGACTCTGGATTGCAAATCATGTGGACTATCTGTTTTCATTGATGAATCCAATGGGTTCTCTGTTATTGCCTACAACGGTGAACCTTCAATTCTCTCTGGTGATATTGATCCAAGTACTTGTAGCTTTCATTAGGTTACCAATTTGTAGTAGATTTTTTTACTCATTTGAATGCGTATTGAGAACTAATTTCCAACAGTGATATAGGATTATATGTAACATGTAAGCGGGCGCTATTGTCTGTTGCTGATAATTGTCTTTTTCGTGTTCTGGTAAAAGTGTAGTGACCGGCCAGTCTTGTGGTGTAGTGCTTCGTTAATCGATCGTCTTGATAACCGTTATTATAACAATGTGAACGGTGTATAATATCAGAAGACAAAGGGAAGCAGCAACTACATTTTTATTGATAAATAACATGGGCTAGGAGGTAGTGAGCACATTAGCAAATGCAAGCAAGCGAAAAAAAGATGACGCATAGTGGAGATGGCTGGGAAGCCAACTCGTTATAAGCAAGCATTAATCAACATTTATAGTCAGGCTAAAATGAATGACAGACATGTGATAGGTAGGATAAGAAGGGTGCATACACATGCGCTCATATAAAAAAATAGTCAAGGTCAATAAGCGAATAATTAACAAGATCAAAATATGACTCATAAAGTTATAGGTGAATTGGCTTGTCCAGAAACTAGAATAAGCTATGTAGGTGTAATATAGTACACGACGTTACACTACTCCCCACAGTCTCGATAAGAACACGATTGGAATAACGGAAACAATCATTATTATTGTAACCAATTGTACCAGAGATTGTTTTACTGTATTTGTTTAACTGTATCAGTTTCACTTCTGCTTTCGCTCTCCGCCTTGTTTGGTTCGAACTTGCTCGCGCACTGCCTGTTCGCCTGTACTCTTTGGCACGTCTCGGTATTATTTCGATACCACGAGATCGCCAATAAATACAATTGATCTGGATTAATAAAGTCTTCTGATTTACGAGCTATCAAAGGAACCAAGTCGTTTTTGGGCGCGCAAACGAATTGTAGTGGTGATCATAGTCCGTCTTCGACTCGACATCCACTACAAACTGGTGAGCCGTATTAGGAACACGCACATCTGGCGAACCACAACCAGTAACCCAATTCTTCGAGCACAGTTCAAACTTGGCCAATTCTTCAAACCAGATCAATCCGGTGAGTCTATTTATCTATCCACTTGTGTTGCATATATTCGTATTGATATTTTCAATATATAATATCTTGGCAACTTACCATGGTGGATAACGATAAGAGTAGTATGAATATAATAGACTCCGAGGTACAGGCTATCAATTTTCGACCTGTTCCTTTCATCCCTCATGATCCAGAAGTCTGGTTCGCGGCACTGGAATCTCAATTTGAGATCCGCCGCATAACCAACCAAAGGCAAAAGTACGCCTACGCTTTGGAATCATTGCCCGGGGATCACCTAACTGCTGTTCGTGAGGTTGTCCTCAATCCGAACGTTCCGAACGTTTACGACCGTCTTAAGGATGCCATCCTTCGACATTTCCTCCCATCAAGAGAGGAACGATTGAGGACTCTCTTAGCACGTCACCCTATGGGTGATGCTAAGCCGAGCCACCACCTCACGCGCCTGCAATCCTTTGCAGGAAACTCAACAGCAGACTCCGAAATAGTCAAAGAGTTATGGCTCGAAGCATTACCAGCTAGTATCCAACCAACTCTTACGGCCCTGCTCGAGGACACCCCACTGCACAAGGTGGCCCTCATAGCAGACAAGAGTCTAGCACGTGTTAGCGCCAAAGACAACTATATTGTTACCTCTACTTCTCATTCAAACATGGATTTCGATGCTAGACGACCTTCGGCTCATGGGGATAGGGACAGATGTATCCATACTCGTCTAAGTTTCCGAGACCGCTCAAATGTGCCAGCCCCCTACGTCCCCCGACCCGGGTCACGATCTCGAAAAGCCGTAACGACTTGCCCCAAGCGGGTATCTTCCAAGCCACGCCAGAAGGCGGCTTCGGAAGCGAGTTCGAGTTGGTGCTGGTTCCACCGTGCCTTCGGGGCCGGTGCTCGTCATTGTCGAGCTCCCTGCTCATACAAGGCGGGAACTTCCCGAGCCGGTGAGTAAATACGGCCGTACTCACCGGCCCTTCATCTCCGTTTGACCGTTTATTTTACGTGCACGATTATCGCACTAACGCTAGGTACCTCGTGGATACAGGTACCCAAGTTTCTGTTGTACCTATCAGTAACAGTAAGTCTCAAGCTACGATGCTTCGACTACGCGCTGCGGATGACTCAGTCATTCCCAACTATGGTACACGACAACTTACGGTCAATCTGAGCAAACAGCCTTACGAAGGCCCTTTTCACGTGATTTCCCGTCACGAAAAGACCTTCAAGGTTGATCGACATGGCCGTGTCAAAGTCAGCATTGATCGTCTCATGCCAGCACACGTCGATGACAGTGCCCTACCTGATAAGCCGAGACCCAATGCTAAACCCATCAAAGCTTCTAGCGGGATCTCTACATCTACTTCGGATCCCATGCTAGATGCACCTGAGACCTCATTCTCACGTCCCAGTCAACAGCACTTGTCATCTGCCCCGTCTACGGACGAGACTTCAGTCTCACGTCCAGACCAGCAGACCACACCGCCCTTGACTGTGGATGAGATTGCAGGCTCACGAGGTTCGAACGAGACTACCGTCTCACGTTCCGGTCGCCGAGTACGCTTACCCGTACGCTTTCGCGACTAACCTCATAACCAGCAGCGGATACAGTATAGGACCTTAACCCTATACTACACGAATGCTACACTCTTCTCTTTTTCTCTCATTTTTTTTGTTTTCCCTGAGCCTACGCCTCCGACCATCGCTGTTACGGTATCGTCGACTTCAGTCAACTTTGGCGAAAGCTGGCCTGATCACCCACGCTCTAGTCAACGCACTCAGTCGACCTCTCTGGTTCCAAATACGTATGGTATACATTTGGTCCCGAACATGGTTATCCTGGTCGCATCTGGTTCCTTGGCTCAATCTGGTTTCGTCCTACGTCTGCAGCGTTTTTGGTCCGGACCTCTACGAACGCAACCTTCAGATTCTGGATACAAACCACTCTGGTGTAGCATGCTAATCCAAGCAATCAATACAGTACGTTCCTTCTGGTACCGTTCTACGTCAAAGACTTTTGGTGGCAACTCGAGGATCAACGATCACTTCCTGTTCCGCCAACGCCTTCGTCCTACAATTGCATGTTTCGCGATCAGTCCCACGAACGAAACCGCTACGTATCGAAAGTGTAAACCCTTTCTAGCGGGGGGCTCCTGTAGTGACCGGCCAGTCTCGATAAGAACACGATTGGAATAACGGAAACAATCATTATTGTTGTAACCAATTGTACCAGAGATTGTTTTACTGTATTTGTTTAACTGTATCAGTTTCACTTCTGCTTTCGCTCTCCGCCTTGTTTGGTTCGAACTTGCTCGCGCACTGCCTGTTCGCCTGTACTCTTTGGCACGTCTCGGTATTATTTCGATACCACGAGATCGCCAATAAATACAATTGATCTGGATTAATAAAGTCTTCTGATTTACGAGCTATCAAAGGAACCAAGTCGTTTTTGGGCGCGCAAACGAATTGTAGTGGTGATCATAGTCCGTCTTCGACTCGACATCCACTACAAAAGCATAGGACAAGCTTGGAATCTGTACTTTCTTGTATCAGACGAAGAAAGTCAAATTCAGGAATTACTCAGGAAATCTCCAGAATATGAAAGACATATCTCGCACGAGAAACTGGAATCTTTCCACAGATGACTCATTGTAAAGCTCTGTTGATGGTGTCGCTTGATGCGTAAACTCTGCTTTCATTGATATTTCCTTATTGTAACTGTTTTCGTAAGTTCTGATAGACTTAAATCCCACGTATACCTAAGAATCTATATACGTAAGGAAAGATTTAAAACCTCTACTATATATTATCTTGCAAATGCACCATGTTAGAAACAGGTTGTTAGGGCTGAACTAGTCAGAACTTGTATCGTTAAAAATGTTTGGAACCAAAAGTTGTAAAGGTTCTGATATTAATTTAAAAAGTATATTTAACTATAGGTAGTTTAGTTACTTCATTTATGTATACATAAATACAGTTGTCAGATTTTCTTTTTTACTTTAATAAAATCCTAATGCGTTAAGCATATAATGTAGACGGCGTCGTGTCGCACTTGACTATGATCACTACTACAGGATGATTACGTGCCAAGTATCGAGTTCCGTCCCTTCGTAAGCCTAAGTCCAGGAGGCTGTTGACGGTTGCAATAAAATGTATTTGTTGGCGATCTCGTGGTATCTAAAGTATACCGTGACGTGCCAGACTTTACAAGGTGAACTACCGAGCGTAAGGGAGTTTGTGCAAGGTTACAGGCAACGGAAGAAAGTGTGTTTAGTACACTTGAACAAACAAGTACAGTAAAACAATCACTAGTACAGGTGGTTGTAATAATAATTAATTCCATTATACTAATTGCGTTCTCATCACAAAAGTTGGTCACTACAACAGCATTAAATAAAACCGTAGACAGTGATAATATACACTGCCAACCGCTAAACACTAAAAATTAGTACACTGAAACCGTTTCACAGTATTTTATAGTCTTCTTTGGAACATTCTTTCATAACCAGTACTCGATAGTAATACTACCACCGGGTATTGATATTTTTGAGTCATATGTTTTTTAAAACTGGCGGTTTCATGAGACAAATCACTTGTGCGTCCACTCTTGTCGAAAAATAAACTCAAGACAACGCGTTCTGGAAGAAGAGTAAGATTTCCAGAACATTTAAATGTCTGTTGCACGTAGGACACAGACTTAATCTGGAATTTCCTTTTCAGTATTTATTATAAAAAATAATTTTTTTAATATGCCCATTTTTTTCGCTCATTTTGTGTCTTTACGCAAGTACGAGTGTGTTTTCGACATGCACTCACACGTTCTATTTTTTCTCTTTTTCAGGACAGCTGGAAAAGAACGACGAAGTTTCACAAGAAACCGAAATTTTCATTGTACTTTATTTCTTTATTGCTATGTTGTACATTTTGGTCCCTTAGTGCAAGGAAAGACGACCAGACGCTGCTAAACGAAGCGCGTCATCAGAAGAGTGTTTACCAGCGACAAACTCGTTGGGTTTAAACTTCTGGCTGGTCACGTCTTAAGGGCATCATTACCTCACTAGGGGGGGGGAGTGATCTGTAGCTGTAAATAAATCCCCAAAATCAATAGCTCATTAAGTGTTCGACATTGGATGCTGACCACGTTGTTTAAGTGGACTTGTTTAACTGAAGGCTTTCGGTCATGCATCCATATCAGATCACATTTCGACTCAGCGTGGGACACAGCTCCTACGTTCACTAGCCAGCTAAGAACAAACGCTTCTCGATATATTGATAACGTATCAAATATATCTTTCCTACCTCTTCTCGTCTGACTTCTGATTTCCGTTGATCGGGAAAAAGCTTCGAATAAAGAAGATGCTACTGGTAGCAGGTTGCAAAATCTGAACACTAGTCGTATCTTCATCTTCATCCAAAGTCTGAGTTTCCGAACTTCTCATAACTAATAGGGTATGGGATTTTAAACCAGTGTGTCCACGTTCCAGGTCCTACGTCGCTCCTGACTGTCTAACTGACTGACTGATCAGAGAGGTTCTTATGTTAGTCCGAAATTCAAAACCGACTTCTTGACTTTCTGTCACAGTTAATTGCTTCATTTCTTTCAAAGGACCTCACTGAAACACTCATAGTTAAACTCAATCGTTAGAGCACTGCGGATCAACAGGATGACGTAAATAGTTCCGAATTCTGTCTCTTAAACCAAAGACTGATAACCACCCGATTAATCATCTCTGATGTCATCTCAAGAAGGATCAAAAACTACGACTATATAAACAGGGAGGAGTTACATACGGCCGTGAGTTAAATCGTGACGTGGTACTAATACCAAACTGAATGTTCTCAGTTAGCAGCGATACAACACAGATTAAGATTTTCAGAATCAACTCGGGATACTTGGAGCCAGTTAGTTTAAGGAAAAATATTTACTGCTGCCAAACTATTGAACTCACTGTTTTGGGTGTGTATCGAACTCATTTTGCGCCTAGGTTGACAAAGATTTCAGACTTTTTTCTGATGTACAGGTATAAATCGAAAGAGGGTCGAGGGTTTATAATAACTCGCAATAAGAATTTCACATTTTGTTCACAATAAATACATTGGATTTTGTACGGAAGCGCACATTACTGGTTTTGCGTTACTCATGTCTGAAGAGATAGTCACTGGTAGTGTGCATAGTATTTGCTCTTTGATCGATGAATATACTGCTTGCCGCGATGTGAAGAATGTAGAAGAACAATTCATTTTGTTATACCAGTGCATACAAGACAGCGACCTACCTTATGTGGTCCAGTGGGTGTGTAACTGGCTAGGAAAACTTTGTTTGTTAGATGACAGTAGTGTACTTCCCGTATTTGAACAGGGACTACTTGAAATATCCACTTCATTTGACTGTGATCAGTGCGTTCTTCTCCTTCAGGGTTGCCTTAATACCTATAGTAACGTGGGATATTTTACTCGAATTCTTAAAGCCATATCTGTTTGTGCTATTAAAATCGAATTAAAATACTTTGGTCGGATCAAGGGGGTCTTTAATTCCTGTGAGGATTCAGTAAAAAACTTTGCTGGCAATGATTTATCCTGTGCGCTATATGCATCTGCTGACTTATTTAGAAATATATTTTCTCCAACTTCAGTTAGGCTGTTAAATCCTGCTGATAAGTGTTTTTTACGACATCATAATTTGTACATGATTTCTATGTTACTGTACACTGATTCCAAAGACAAAGATGAGCTCCCTACGCTTTTTATGAAAAATCTTTCGAATGTATGTGAAGGATTGTACACGTTTTATTTATCATGTCGTAGACTACTTCTCACATCACCAGATACAGTTTTGTACGGAAAAACAGCTGCTTCCGTTATAGTACCAAGTTGGATCCAGCTACTCTACTACTTTTTTACTAGTCATACACATGAACTGTACAAGTTTTGGCCATTAGTTTTTACTCATGAATACTGGATCGATTTAATCTGTCCTCTTGTACATTTCTTGCTGGATGTATCCAGGAGTAATTCTCGGTTTAAAAGTTGCAAAGCTGATTTGATCGACTTCAGCGAAGAAAAATTTCACCCTGACAGATATTTCAGGTTAAGACAATTTGCCTTGCATTTTATTGGGAGCCTTTTTAGAAAAAACCGTTGTTCTCTTCAACGTGCTTGGTGGGATCCTCACCGGTTTAAGTTGTTAGAGTATCTAGAAGTTCTTGCTACCGAACCAGTATCTAACGAAACTCTCCCAAATCATATAACCCAAGCAATCAGTTATATTGAGCAGATTGTCTCGTCGTCAACCTACCTCGCTCGATTCCACATCTACGCTAAATTCCTGGAACCCACTCAAGATAATGTACATCATGGTTGGCGTGGCCACGTTATCACTCTATTCAAAAATCATTTACACAACCTTGTGCAAAGCATTATTGATTCTAAAGTTCAGTCTGAAGTAAGTGACCCAGAAAACAGTGCTAATTCGTGTTACTCAGAAGACGTCAAGCGTATATTTAAATACGTATTCAGGTATCCATTACCATTCAGTTCACAGGAAGATTTGATTGATGAAAGCAGCTGGTTACTATCTGCCTTGAACTTAGCTTTGTATGTGTTTATGAAGTCCAAATCATATCCTTCACCATTAATATCCTATATTGTGAAGCTTATGACCATTACTTCTGATGGGAAAATAAGCTACTTTAGCGAATTCCTGTGTAATTTAAAGTCATGTTTGGATCAACATATTGCTCAGTATCAAGCACGTATTTCTGCATTCCAAACGACCTTGTGCAATACAGGCGACACTAAAGAAACAAATCGTTTAATATCAGAACTTGGCGTTCAAGAAAGTATCATGCTTCGTTTGCGTCTTTTAGAAATGACTTTCCATCAAACTCAGACGTTATATCTACAATTCGAATCTACCAGTTACATGTAAATGAAGGTGACTTGTTTTTGTATTGCTCGTTTTGTAAATAAAACTTTATTTCCATACTCCTTGTTGTAATCTCAATTGTTTTATTGGTTTGTAGCTCCACAACTTGATTTTAGGTAGTTATCTTTGTTCCTTGAACCGAAGAAACCATGATTGGACGCTTTGTTATTCTTGGGGGACGGCAACCGAAGTAAGCTATTTCATGTGCTTCAATTCTTTTTACACTTGTGTGCTTAGAATTCCAGTTTTTATCTGTTAGATAATGTTTCACATAGCTCTTTGTCTCAATGTCTATCATGCAGTATGTTGCATTATTAATAAAACAACCGATTAGGTTAGAGGCCGTTAAGTGTCTGGTTAAAATTCAGTCACAAGGATTTTAAATGTGCTAGTCAAGCAAAAACTTGGGATAGGTATGTATTAACTCGTTTCCAAGCCTCATGCTAACATAGCAAAAGAAAAAAACTGGTTAAATAAAGAGCTAAGAATAAACATACATTTGTCCAGTTAAAATTACTAATATTTATTAGCATTTTATTTTACATTGAGTTTTCCGATAGCCAATTTCGCACGTATGAAATCATAACGTTGAAAATCCTCTTGCTCCATCTGGTGTCCATACAGTTAATTTTTTAATATCTCTATGATAGTTTCACCAACAAGCCAAACTTTAAGAACACTTAGTTGCTTTTTTATTACACAAATATAAATGTGCTCACATAAATCTACTGTTTTAGTTCATGAATATGCTGTGTACAGGGCGAAAATACACTGATCCACTGATGGATTGTAGCCATATAATCTGTCTGTACCAACTGTTTAGTTGTTGGTGGTGATATTTTGACCAAACTTTTGTTTGTACTCAAAGTCGATTCTCACAACAAGGTCTATCCACAGCAAACGGTCGCCGTAGAGTAATCACTGTGCTGAGGTGCCGGAAATAGTATATGAGCATTCTGTGGCTTGATTTATTTTAAGTGTCTGAGTCTCTTGGAATGGTTAGTTCACTTGTGAGTCTGACTTCATTTTGAAGGCTTCCTATCATACCGGTTTCCTATTTCATTCAAGGTAGAGTCATAGGCTGAAACTAAGAAAAGTAACAATGTGTATTTCGAACTTTCCAAGGTTTTGTAGTGTTATTTGGTCGTACATTGAAAAGGTTATCAGAAGAAAATTTTCTGTCAAATGGCTAAATTTCCAAAGGATGGCTCTTACAATCTGAAGTAAATTATCGTTCTTCACAAATGTGGTTCGGTTCCGGAAACATAACTTATATCCATGGGCGATTCTTAAACTTTGACGAATGATGCTTATTTTCGATATAATGGTTGCAAACACTGAAAGCTCCATCTTATTTATAGCTAGATCCAGGAAAATCATTATTTATTATTTATAAGGTTTAGTTTTTAACAATAACCACTCTCTTGTACATGATATGTCTGTTTATTTTATGACATTTATTAAGGAGAGAATAAAAATTTCGACCGAATCGCATTGTTTTAACAAATTTATATGAACTACTGAGGGTCTGGACATGGATATCATATTAAAGTGAAGTTTCAATTCACTTTAATTTACAGAGTGAATAGTTCCGGCTTAGGAAGCTGGGAACTTTTGTAGAAAATAAATGTGAGGGTTTGTGTTTATTCGTCACTTATGTGTAGAGTGGTTTGAAGTTCTCACAAGAAAAATATATACCCACAAATTCTTGGGATTCATAATAAAAAACCATGTAATTTTATGTTTAAACACTAAATGGCTCAACATTTTGTTTTGGAAAAAAATAATTCCAGGGAGCAAGGATGGCATTTCGTGGTTTTTGAGTCGTTATCACTGGGTTGACATGTTAAAGTAGATTGAGCTAGTGATGAATGGTTAAAACTAGAATAAGGAGAGGACTTGTAGGGTAAGGGAAATATCCGTTGTCAAATCTGACTGGCATCATAAGTGCTTGGGCTACGGGGTAGAATAGAGTACAAAGTAGCTATCTTAAAAGCATTGTTCGTATATTTTGGGACTACCGAATAAGCAATACCTGGGTTAGCAGTATGACACTTGGTAAAGACATTAAGTAGATATGTGAGATAGTAAATCTTCATATGAAGCGTTTTAAACATGTGTTACATATTCTCAACCATCGCCTACCTCGAGCGATAGTGCATGGTGTATTAGTAGGTTGGAAGAAAGCAACTGACAACCAAACCAAAACATGTCACCAATTTATGAAGTCAAAGACAATTCGACTAAAGCATGTTAGCAGGTGTACATTATTTGATTTATATCAGAGTGACTATAGTGACAGGTTGTTAGAGGCTTTGAACGGCATGGCTCAAAATCGTCTACGGCATTATATATATATATATATATATATATATATATATATATATATATATATATAAACGCATAAACTTTTGTTTCATATGCCTTTATTTTTAATTAAAATCTGTTTTAATTGTTTAGGTTATGTTTATCTGTCTTGTCTGCAAACAGTAGTTCTAAATACAGAATGGTCACTGTAGTGTCATCCATTATTCATGTTCCTTTACAAAGGTTGTGTCAGTCATGTAAGTTGTTTAAAGCCATATTTTGCTTAATATTTAAAAAATGCTTTAATTAATAAGTTTTTACAGTTGTTAATTTTTTTCATATCTCAAATTGTTAAGTAGCCAACCTTTTTTATGTATTTGAGTGTTCGCCAAAATTTATACAAACAGTTAAACAGAAATTCCGCATCAATAATATAAGGTACATTATTTTTTAAATTTAAGTAATTGCAACCATTTTCCTGCTAAACATTTTTATAAGAGATTTTTCAGGGGAATAATCAAAATTCTTAACGAAACTACTTCAGTAACTAACTGTTTTACGTTTTTTTAAAATTATAGCTTACATCTATGAATTCATACCTTATTTCCGACTGATACAAACATGTTTAGTTAGTTCATATTTTCTGGTGGCTTTGACGCTGCAGTACAGTTACATATAATAAAAATCAGATAAGGTCATTGACCTCTTAAACTTAATTTCTATGAATAGTTCGTGTCTTAATCATTATGAGTTTGAAACCTACTTTTTCGATCATAACAACTAACAGTATTAGTCAAATAAATTTGATCGACATACTGGTAAAGATGTTCATCGCTTCTAATTCCCAAACTTCAGTTCAACATACTATGAAGAACATATAAATGAGTACAAAGAGCAGTTGTGGAAGACTAACAACCAGGTAGCATCCTAAATATACAAATATATTAAAAGTATGAAATAATATTGATGATGTGTATCAAGTTTAAAGGGAAATAAGGCGGGATAATATCCATACTACCTAGAGTACCCGTTCATTGTCAGTCTTTGTTCTGCAGAACCAAATTAGAAAATCGGTACCTTTTAAAGTCGATAATTTCATATATCAATATCATATCTTCATTCAACTGCCCCAGCTCCTAACTCGAGCTGATATTTTCCAAGCTATCAGTTGACCAGAGCTGATATATATCCTAAGATAAGTAGAAGTGATCTTCCTCTCTAGTAATTCGCTCTTTTGATAGGAATAGGTTTTGATATGGGCTAGTCCTGATGCAATAATTTTTAAATTCGAAATAATTAACGCATACTCAATTTTCCTTTGTCACTTATTAGTCCACTAAATAACTGTAAAAGCATATCTGTGGCGATTTTAAAAAAGAAAATTATTCGAAATTGATGAATGCTGCTTAATGTAGCAGGTATATATATATAACCCATAAGTAGGTCCTAGCAGTTACCATTAACTTTTTCTTCGTCCGGATATAATTAATAGGTTTTATTTGGATATTTTTCTCCCGCACATTTCTAGCTTCTATCGTTTTCAGTGATCATAACAAATTTCACGGTACTGAAACCCATGAACTCGTACTAGATTCAAATTTGAAGGCACGTGTTTTGGAATCAACATTGGCATATGTCCCCAAATATGGTTGGTCACGAGAAGCGGTTGAGGCTTGTTGTCAAACTGAAGGACTACCCCCAGGATTACATGCCTATGTTGCACCTCAAGGTGGTATTGACATAGTTTTACATTTCTATGCTACACGTAATCAACAGCTGGCTGAAGTCATGCAACAATGGAGGACAACTAGTGATAGTACAAATAAGAATATTGATATTAAAGGATCAGAGTATGCAATTTTTGTATGTTCGCTCCCATTTAAAGTCCATATGTTCTAATACGATTGAGGATTCTGCTAATTTGTTTTCTTATTAAATAGTTAATTTCTGCAAACGTAAGCTTATTGTTAAATAACTCTCAGAGTTCTTCCTTTCCAATGTTCTGACCGACGATAATGAAAGTGTCATCTATTCCACTCTTATCACTGAATTATAATCTAACTACTTTGATCGGTTTAATAATTTCGTATATGCATATAAATATTACTGTATATTAGACTAAAGCCTGATGAGGATTTAGTGCTAGTATAAACGTGACATTTATATAAGTTTGGATTTTTTCTACTCGAAAATAGTTTATCATACATACACATCAACTGGAAAATCATTGAAAACTAAGAGGCAATTGGTATCTTTTTCATCTCAGTTTAATACGACTGTACTGCTCAGTAGTTTGTTCTGTTTATATTTATAGTTGTGAAGTATGGTCCCTAAAGATAGATTATATTTGTACATTACTTGTGTTTGACGATAGATGTCTACAAAAATTGCTCGCGGATGTTCCAACTACTGTGTAAGCAATGCTGGTGTTAGACGAAGTAAGTAGTGAATTTTCATAGATCATGCCTCCAACCCCTGCATACTTCGACCAGGTGTTGTAGGGTTAGATTGAAAGAAAACTAGGTAGGATCGAATTAATATGTCTTACGTCTTTAAATTCATTAACTGTTGGACTATGCCATATAGGTAGATGCAGATTACCAGATTGGAGTCTGTGCTATTACCGTAAATGATGGTTGGTAATGTTTGTTCACATCGTTCACAATCGGTCTCGATAACGTTAATGCCGTCCTCGT